GCACATGTCGATATGTTATTCGTGACCCTGCTAGTGGGGGAGGTTACAAACGTTAGCACATGTCGACATGTTAGTGATAGAGCCGGTTCGTTCAACCCTGCTTGTGGGGGTTATACACCAGCAAATCGTGGCCCTGCTAGTGGGGATTATACACTGGCCATGACCTATAGAGGAGACGTCTATTTCGTGCCCGTACTGTATCTGTTTTCGTGATTGTACTTGTTGGCATGCTTTAAGTTTGATAAGGGGCACTCCATATTTACTTACTGAGTTTATCTCATAGTTTTCCTTGTCCACCATTTCAGGAAATGAAATCGAGGACGGGGAAACCACGGGAAGTGACGAGTTAGAAGACTAGCCATTTCGAGATTGATATAGATTTTTAGAAATAAATCATGATCTTGTATTTGGAGATTTTATGATATCAGAGAGAATTTTATAATTTGATCTTCAGATTTTGGTGGTATCAGAGTGTGATATGATAAGTTCCGAGCCTTGTGCACTTGTGGGATCCGTCTCACGAGTGTACGACGTCTGTCGCGCCTCGGATTTGGGTTTTGGGGCGTGACACCTACATTTAAAATAACAATTTTATTTTACTTTTTTATATTTCAAATTAACATTCTTGTTGGTCAAAAAATGCTAAGTGGAGCAACTATTTCCAAGCCAATGGAAGCCAATCTAAAGTGGTTTGCACTACATCATCATTAGCTATAATTTTAATCCATGTTTAGATTCCTTTCTCTTTTTATTAAGTAAAGGGCAGTTATTATAGAGACAATTTTTGTATAATTTTTTATACAATTTTCATATATTATTAAATAAGTAGATACATTCAATATTATATATTTCAAATGAATAAAATAATCAATTAATTAAATGATAAGTAAGATTGTACCAAAATTTAATAAAAAATGTTGTTTTTAAATCATTTTTCCAAAATAAAAGCAAAACAAATGTAAAAAAATCTACACAAGATTCTATCTCCTTCTTCACCTTTGCAATTCCTATGAATTGTGATTGTGATCTTTATTCCATCTCCTTCTAATTTACATTCCATTCCATATCCTTCTTCACCTTCACAATTCTTGTGAATTGCAATTATGATTTTTTTCTACATTCTTCATCTTTCCTCAAATTTTTCCCATTTTGCTTATTTTCTCATTATCAAGTTGTTCATTCTTAAGGTTGTATTTCCCTTCTTTTTATTGTCTACTTGAGTAGATAATGATTATCGTTGCCAAAAACTATGGATAGGTGATAGTTGATGTAAGAGCCAAAGTCTTGAGTGTAGGAAAGAGAAAAAAAAAAAAAAAAAAAGGCAATCTCACTTTAGCTTCGTCATATGAGCTCTTACTATTCTTTCTCCATTTAATTGTTGATGGCCCAAATGCAAAAAATTGTGCTTGTTGCATTATAGAATTTTGAACATGTTTTTGTTAACTATTCATGATGATTACATGTAATTGGCGACAATTCATATCAAAATTAAATATGAATTGAACTATATTAGTGCATGTTTGGTACAACTAGTGGGAAATCCTTTTGGACTTTAAAAGCTCCAACTGTACCAAACGCTACAACTTGTGAAAAATGCTACAATTTCTCACAAGTTAGTCTTTTGTGCATTTCATTACAAATCTCAGAAGCACCGAATTGGTGCTTCTACAGAAGTTTCTTATTTAGGTTTTAATAAAATTAACACATTATTTCTATTTTATCCTTATTTTTCTTTCTATTTACAAAAACAGTACTACTACAACAGTTTCTTTCTAACAAAACTTTTATTAAAAACTTCAATTACACCAAACCAACACTTAATCTTACACACAATGTGTTCAATAAAATGCTAGAAAAAATATTGTTGATGAAGGCAAATTGACACTCTGTGAGGTATACATTTGTCTTTTGCATTTTTAGGCTTGAAAGTTCATGAAGAATGAAAATTGCAAGAGATGAAGCTTCATGAGATGACTACTTCTTGATGTTCCAGTATCTTAGTAATTAGTGTAGCTTTACCAACAAAGATTATCTTAATTGTACAATACTTGTGTGTATTTTTTAAAGTTATCTCTACTATATTGTCTCTACATTGTTATAGTAGTTTTTTGAACTATTTTGTATATTTTTAGTCTAAATAAATAAAAGTTACCATTTTTATGAATACATAAAGTTAACATTTAGGACATCTCCCATAAGAGAAGAATTAAGCATCTTTAGATGTCAAGTTGGACTCTCTATGCTACTGTCGAAGCTTGCTGTCGAATCCATCTCCTCTACTGCTGTTGAAGCCATCTACTTTGCTATTACTAGATCCATCTGCTCTGTTGCTACTGTCGAAGACATCTGCTTTGTTGCTGTTGCTGCCGAAGCTTGTTGCCGAATCCATCTCCTCTGCTGTTGCTGAAGCCATCTACTTTGTTGTTGCCAGATCCATCTGCTCTGCTGCTGCTGCCGAAGCCATCTGCTCTGTTGCTGCTGGATGCATCTGCTTTGCTGCTACCGGATCCATCTACTCTATTGCTGTCAGATCCATCTGCTCTGCTGCTACTACTGAAGCCATTTGCTACTGCTTAGCGGTGTTCGCGGTGTGGTTTGGTTCAAATTTTATTATTTTTTAAACCAATCTAATTTAATCGATTAATAAAATTTTTAAACCAATCCAATCCACTATTATGTGGTAACCAAACCAATCCAATTTAAATCGGATCGGTGTGGTTCGGTCAAATTGATCAGTTTTTAATATTATTAAATATAATAGATAATGTAAAAATATTTTAACATCAAATAGAAAGCATAATTATAAAATAAATTAACATCTAAATCAGTAAAAACATAATAATAGGTAAAAAATTATAAACAAATTCTTATACTCCTTTGTATTTGTAAAAATTGAAAAGTTCTAAAATTATTCTTGGTTGCATCACTAGAGGCACCAAAAATAATAAAAAATAACTTCAAATTTCTAACACAACGTAAATAATTTTTGAAAATTAAAATTCATTTTTTTTCCTAATGCACTAATAATTTAATCACATTTTCTAAATCCTATTAAAAGTGAATAACATTTAACATGAATATTACTAAAATTGATTAGAAGCATTCATAATCAAAATTTAAAACTTCTAAACTAAATATCCAAAAATAGTAGAATATTAAGACTAATTTTATTATATAGTTTTAAAACTTTTACAATGATACTTATTTAAAATTTAATTAGGAGAACCATAAGATTATTTTAAGAATAAATTAGAAATTTAGGGTTCTAAAAGGAAATGTGCAAATCAGTTATGAGATAATAGAATTGCAAGTGAATTAGAAATTTAATAATAACTTAGGGAATATGAAAATGTTCTATTTTTATTTTTTTAATTAAGTTAATGGAGTTATAATCTTATAAAATAAGAAAAAGAAAATTTAAAATACTATAAAAAATATGTTATATTATTTAATTAAATTATCTTCTAATCGGATTTTATTTTGTAATCGAGTAGTTCGGATGGTTTAAAAGTAAAATCATGAACCAAACCAATTATATCGGTTTTAAAATTTTAGAATTTAAACCAATCCAATTTTATATTGGTTTAGATCGGTTTTTAATTGGATTGGATCAATTTAGGTCGAATCAATCGGATTGGATCGGATATGAACACCCCTACTACTGCTGCCAAAGCCATCTGCTACTGCTGTTGCCGGAGCCATCTGATATTAATTGGTGGGGAATGGGGATCCCCCCGCGGGAAATAGGGATGGGGGCAAAATCTGCCCCTCGTTAAAAATCCCTGCGGGGATCCCTATCCCCGTGATTCACAAGGACGAGGATGGAGAAGGGCTCCCTAATCCCGCAAGGCCCCGTTGACATCCTTATATCTAATAGGTAGTCAAGCTCAAGCTCATACATTATATCTAGTAATCTAAAGTCTAAGTATGAATGGTTAAGAACACCCTAACTAGACTTTGAAGCACTTCTCAAGAAGTGACCTATCATCAAAATTATAACAAAACTTAGTAATCCACTTGCTAGAAAGAAGCTTGAAATTGGGGGGCAAAACTACTACATAGACTTTTCAAAATCTTAATTTTTTAACAATGATAAATGGATTCTCATTAATAATGACTATGTCAACCAATACCCCTCACAACAATTAGATAAAATTTTTGTGAAGTCATTTCATTGACCTCATTACCCTCACCACCATTGACATAATAAACCTATTCAAACCTAAGATCTTTTTAATGTTTCAAGTTTTTAAGATCATCTTAGATATTCCAATATGATTCCTCAAGATAGAAGTGTCATTGTTGGATGGAGTAGACCATACCATTTTACAGTAAATACACCTCACTTTATTCAAACCTTTATTATTCTTAAACTTTATAAAATGTTCCCCAACATTTAACCTTAATTGAAAATCCTCATTTGCATCATCACTATCCTTCCACTTTCCATTGCTTTTCTCCGTGCTTCTCTTATTTTCAATATCATTTTCCAATGCTTTTCTCCATGTTCCTTCTATTTCCAATACTATTACCAGTGTCTTTATTATGATCCTTCTTCATATCAGCAACATTCGTAGGCATTTGCATATCATCCTAAATTATATTTCAAAAATTAATGAGTTTAGCAACTCAAAGACTTAAATAAATTAACAATTATACTTCAACTGAAAAAATAAAGAAACAAAAAAGGCATAAACCATAAACTTACACTTAAATCAACAATGTCATGCTTTGTATCTTGATATTCGATCTCCATGGTTGATAGAAGACAACATAGCCAAATATCTTAAAATTAAACTAAAAATGAAGCATGTCAATTTGAATAAAATGATAAGAAATATGAAGCATTCAGAAGAAGAACATAAGGGAAAAGTCATTCGACTTATCATAAAAATAAAATCCCTTAAAGTATATTCTTTTGATAAAAAAAAATAAAAACTAAGAAAAAAATGGATCTTATAAAATTTTTACAATAGATAATCAATAACTACTAATAAATATTATATTTGCCTTTAGGGTTAGGGTTTTCTATCCAATTTATGTCAAGTTTGATTAGGAAATTCATTTTATAATTTCAGGTTTAAAGTTTTTAACAATTAAAACCACAATTTCTGATTATGACTTAAAACAAACTATAGAACAAAGTTTGGATTCCTTGTACTTGTTTAGCTCATAATTTTTGTCTTGTTTCTTCAATTCTTAAGTATCTATATTTGCTTGAATTGTGTTCTATGGAACTAATCTTGATCTTGTTTCATTTTCTCTGTGCAAAATGGTGTTCTAATCTTGATCAGCAACCATGCCTCCATTGTCCACTCTAAGCCATTGTTAGAGTAAAGGAGACTCCTCTAATGGCTCGTATTAAGGTCACCAAACATGGCTTCACACCTATGAGAGAAAATTACTCTAATATCAATTGAAACAACTTAAGCCAAAATCTAACATTAACCTAACAAGTTTTTGGGTCAAGGTCCATGAACCTTCAAAAACTCAAGCGTAAGCTTAAGTTGTTAGTGATTGATCTCCACATTTATATAAAACTCACAATCTCGCTCTTCTTTTGATGTGAGATTAGGTTGTTATAGTAACTAAGGAAAATCCATGTAGAATTCAAGAAATTTGGTTACAACTGATTTTTTTTCATACACATATACTTATCTTCTGTTACATCTATATATAAACACAAGATAGGAGAACCCATTTTATATAAGAGGAGATTTGCTTAAAACAAACTTACTTTTTAAGCTCTCTCAAACACCCTTGGGCGCTTCATCCATTTGTGGTTACATTGTTTGTTGCTTTATTTGATTAATTAGGGATCATCTATAGAATGATTAAACAAACGTACTTTTTAAGCTCTCTGAACCCATTGTTTGCGCTTCATCTATTGGTACAGGTCAAATATTTGCTAATATCTACACTTGAAATTTTATAGATACAAGGTTTTCATAGCTAGTATACTTCCTCAATATTAAAATCTATATTCATTATCCAACCCACTTAGTACATGTGCATCTACTATACTTATTGAATATTGCAATTTTTAATACAAATCAAAATATATTTGTATACTTGTTTAATATTATAATCTTTTAAACAGCATTTTTTTATTTAATTTAAATCCAATTTAAAATTTAGAAATTTATTTTATTAAATGTTAATACTTGTATTTAGAAAGTTATATGCACTATTTAATAAAATGAATTTCTAAATTTTTAATTAAATTTTAGTTAAATAAAATAACACTTTTGTAAGGATGGTACTTCAATTTTTTTGGATGTCAAACTGATATATATATATATATATATATGAAAAGTGTCCATTTGCTTTGATTTTTTAAAAATTAAGAGAAAAATTATTCTAAAACTATATTATTTTAATTAGCTTTTTTTTTTACTAAAAAAACTAAAATATCCTACTTTTAAAGTATGAATTAGATTATTTTAAAATTTTTTCTCATAGTATTTTATTAAAAAACTTAATTTTAAAATAAGTCATCTCCTAATTTTTAAGAAATGAAGCCAATAAACACTAATTCATATATATATATATATATATAAATTAAGTATACATGTATGAGCCCTCGTCCTTAGAATTTAAGCCAGTACTTGACAATATTATATGTGTTTAGTATTGTATATATTATTTTTTTAAAAGTTACAAAAAGTAATAGTAATTTTATATATAAAATCAAAAATCTCATTTTAAAATTTTTTTTATTATGGTTTTTACATAGAATACTTAATATTTAATATAATTGTAAAATTATCCATTAAAATCTAATTTTGTATAATTTAATTATATCATAATTTATAATATTTTAATAATAATAACAAATTTAAAAAACCTAAATTATTAAAAAAAATAAATATTATCTATTTTAATAATTGTATATCTTATAATATTTTTGAAATTTTAATTAATAATTTATAAAATTTATCATATTTTACTGATAACATTTTTAAGAAATAAATAATCAAATGTCAAAATAACTTTTAACCATAATTATAGTTTAACACGATCATAATTATAATTACAGTTACAGTATTTTACAATAATTTCAAACTTATCTAAGTGACTTAGTGGTCACTATCCCCCTATTAAAAACTTTTTATGCAAGTTTGAAAGTATGGAGTTCAGGTTTCATCCCAACATTAAAAAAAAAAAAAAAAAATCCTAACAACTTTTTGGGAGACCTAAAGAACCGGTCTCCGATCACGGGAGAAGTCCAACATTCAGTCTCTGCTCCGCCTCTCTTCCGTCGCCAAAATCTACCCCATAAACTCTTTTTCTGTCTTTTCTAGGCTTTTCCCATGTCTTCACAGTAGCCAAATAAGATCCATGGGTTAAAGTTAAAACCACAAGTTTGCGATGTGCCTTAAATTCCTAACAGTTTACACACTAAATGTGCATGCTGCATGGTCATTTTCAAAAAAAAAAAAAAAAAAAGTGCGTAGTCGTTTTGAATTGCCGGTTTGAAACCACAAGTTTACCTTTTGCTCAAATTTAACCTCAAAGCACAAGTTTGAATTGGCAAATAATGAAATAAGAAAACTCATATGTTTGATTAATTTTTTGGATTAATGGATGACCTCTAAATCTAATTATTTTTTCAAAGTTATTTACAAAGCGTTGGTTTTGGAGTTTTATCAATAGCCATTAGTTTTAATTTTAATAATAGTAATTTTTAATCTCTAAATTTATAATATATGTAAATTTTTAGTTTCTAATTAAATTTATAACATTTGTATATTTTTAGACTTTGATAGGGACAAATTTAATGAATTAACTGAAAAAAATAATTAAAAAAATAAACTTTTCATAGGGAACTAATTGATGAAATAGTTAAGAATAAATAAATTTTTCATGGCTTTAAGGAAAAAAAGGTGAAAAAAAAATTTAAAAACCAAAAATACTTAAAAATTAAAAATTTAAGGATTAAAAATGATTTTTAATCATAATAGAACTACCATCTATCACAAAGATGGTGGTGTTCAATGTTTAAAGAATAGTTCTTAAAACTTTCTCCTCTCTCGCCGCCGCTAGGGTTTTCCCTCAGCGGTGTGCGAGCCTCTCACCTAGGTGCTCCTCCCTGGTTTTTTCAGGGCCCCTCTTCCTCTTCTTCTTATCCTTCGTCTCGATTTCCCTATCCCCTTCTTGGATCTTGGCGCAGAGTAGAGATCGGGGCGCAGGCGGTGAAGGGACCTGGTGCAGAGCAAGGCTGGTGCAGGGCGCGCACTCGAGGCGCGAGTGTGGGCGTGGGCAACGGCGCAGGCTTGGGGC